AAGTGGCTCCCTTTCCGCAGAAGCGGGACCCGTTCGCAGGTGCGATGCTAGCTGACCCAGTCCACTTCCGCAGAAGCGGACCCTTATCTGCAGAAGCGGGGGCGCAGATGCGGCCCAGTGACCGCAGGTGCAGAAAAGCTGGAGGCAGTCCACTTCATTTAATACGGGACTTAGTCACTTTTTAACTCATTTTCACTCCATTGTTGGGAGATTTTGGAGCCTCTTGAGAAGGATTTTCATCTAGCGTTTGGAGGTAAGTAATTTCTACCATATGTGAGTTAAGTACTTAGATTATGGGTAGATTAACATGTATAAATTGTGAAAATTATGGGTTTAGATGAAAAACTTAGGGCTTGAAAAGAATGAGATTTTTACCACAAAATTGACCATGAAACTTAGTGATAATTATATATTTATGTTTCTTACGTTATGGGTAACAACTTCCTTCGAAAATTTTCGGAAATCGGGTACGTGGACCTGAGGGTGAATTTTAGGAATCTTGCCTTTGGGGTTGGGAAATCACTTTAATAGTTAGAATATGAACATTTGAACCTATAATACTTGATTTTTACATTATTTTAATAGTTTTGGATTGTTCGGCTCCGATTTGAGGGTTTGAGCGCATTCTTGAGTTTGGAAACAGGCTTTGAAGCAAGGTAAGTCTCTTTTCTAGCCTTGTAAGAGGGAAATTTCCCCATAGGTAAACTTAATTAATATATGATTTATGGTGGGGGTACGTACTCACGAAGTGACGAGAGTCTGTACATAGCTATTATTCTTTTTATGTCCGGGTAGTTCTAAGCTTACACCATACTTTGTGGGTACCGCTATATGAATATATTTGTTGATTTGCATTTAATGGAACTAAGTTGAGGATTTCATGATTTCAAAGGTTTCAAGTAAATTATTATATCGAAAAGAATTGAGGAAAATTACGTTATATTTATATTTAACCGCGTCGCAAGTATATTCCGCGAGTGGGGTGACTATTTCCACTACTCTCATGGGAACGGGCCATTCGCCTCGGGAGGTTAATAGATGCATCTATGGTTCACGTCGTTCGACCCTCGGCAGTGCATAGTTTACTTTTATGTTGGATCCGATCGAACGTCCTCGGTGGTATTTGTGTGTGATAATAGATCCGAAACTCTTTATAGTTCGTATGATTTGTTGCTTGAAAGGTCACTTGTTTTAAATGAGAAAAGTGCCTTGATTTTATATTGCTGGCCCTAGTAAGTGTCGGAGTCGACCCCTTATCACTACTTCTTCGAGGTTAGACGAGATACTTACTGGGTACATATTTTTATGTACTCACGCTACACTTTTGTACTTGATTGCACATGATTTGAGGCAGGTGCATCTGGCCATCAGTCCGGCGCGTAGACTTGACTCCCCAGCTTGAGACTTCCCGATGAGCTGCCCTTTTGAGCCGTTCTACAGCAGCTGGAGTCTCTCTTATGTCTTTATTTTCTTGTATATTTTTTTTCAGACAGTAGGATTGTATGGTTTTGTATATTCTACTAGATTGCTCACATGCTTGTGACACCAAGTCTTGGCACACACACTAGTAGACTTATGATTTTGATTTACTCACATGGTTACGATTCGTATTTATTGCTTCCATTTATTTATGTTTAAATCTTAAACTCCTAAATGTTTATCAAATATGGAGAAGCTATCACTTTCTAATTATTAAACGGGAATTCATTAGGGATTAGTGTTGGCTTATCTAACAATGATGTTGGGCGTCATCACGGCCTAATATGAAATTTGGGTCATAGACAGATATACTTATGACAAGTAACATATATTCGATAAAGTATAAGTGCGTGAAAATTGACTCAAAGGCTGTTATTATATAAAATAATAAAACATAACTAAAGAAAATTATTATATGTTTATGTTCATATAGATAACCTTAGTTTTTCCTCCTCCTTTTTACTCACTCTCTTTCTAATTTGGCACAATTTTTGTTGAATGGATGAGGATCACAATAGAGAATGATATTTTTAAAATTATGTATATCAAAATCTTGGCTGGGACATACTAAATTAATGGACCTCTTAATATTTTTCTCCTTGTGATCATTTTTTTCCTTTTTGTCTTATCCTTGTGATCATTACATTTCCTTTTTGTTATCTTATATTGTACATCCATAATAACTAGGAGGAATTGAAATGCTATTGGTAAACCCACAAACGGATGTTTCTATAAAATATTACTCATCTTTTGCTTTCCGTCGTTCATTATCTAGTTGTCCTAAAGGATATGTCAAAATGGATAATCATAAGAGTGGAAGAACATCATCACACTAAACGTTGTTAGATTATATCGTCATTATCTGAAGGACATTCTTGGAGCAATGGTAAAATTGTCTCCGTATAAATTATAGGTCATGAGTTCGAGTTTTGGAAACGAATGCTTGCATTACGATACGCTATCTACATCACAGCCTTTGGAATGCGGCCCTTCTTCGAATCTTGCATGAACGTAAAATACTTTGTGTACCGTACTATCCTTTTATGTTAATGACTTAACTATTTTAATAATTAACCATTAATTATTGTATAGCCCCACTAACCCCATCATTATTTACACATACATATATATTGCACTGACTGAAGTGTACCAATGATGACATCGCCGCACACTCCTAGACTAGTCCTCCAACTCTTCCCAACTTTGCGATTTTAATCATTTTTACTTTGTATTTCATATATTCAACAATATAAATTACTTAGAATATATAATTGAGATATTATTCTCCAAAAGCTCTTGGTAAGGAGTCTTCTAGATTTACACAGATGAGAATAATAATACACTAGTATTAAAAAGTTTAAAATTGTGCGATCACATTATTTAAATCAATTACGTAATTATATATTCAACAAACCATTTTAGAAGTCCGGAGAGATACGGACTTCATGGCACAATAATTATAACAAAATTGAAATAAATGGTCATGTCGATCATATATATCCGCCATTACATAGAACTATTAGACTATTTGAAAAATACAGTAGAAAGGGTCGAAATACTATGACGTTGAGAATAAAATAAAAAAGAAAAGAAAACTGAAATATTCAATACACTGAACAGGAAGTGCTTCTGGATGGGACTAGATTACAGTAGACTGGAGTAGAGACCAATTATTTGGAAATACATATCCTTCAAAAGTCCAAGAGTAACCAAGTCGTGCTATTGCCTCTAAAGGAATAATTCTCCATAGAAAAATTGGGCTGACAAATTAAGAAAGTTTTGGCATTTTGATTACGTGGCTCATGTCGTTCTCAACAAATCAAAATATTCTGCGCTCAAGTTTTATCAAGATTTATATTCTCCCCACGTAACTGAGGGAGAGCTAGAATCTTTATTAAAGTGTGTCAAAATATAAAAAAATAAATCCACAAAAAAATCAAGAAGATTAAATATACAATATATATACATCAAAATTATTTTTTTACCTAATTACACATGTATTTTTTCCGCGAAAATATGTATTGACTATTGTCTATAGTGGATTCAATCTAATTTTATTGGTTCAGAATTCAGGTTAATCTATCATCTTATTTGAGGTATGAGTTCATAGTTCAGTGTTTTCGGCAATTCTAGTGATCTTTATACAAATAAATGCGAACTAGGTTGAAAATTATGGATTCAAATGCACTGACATCAATAATGCTAGATCCATACTAATATTTTAAATGCTTATTAGTTGCACTGGTATCTTTTACGCAAAGAGAGCAGTGACAATCATAGGCAAAGACAAAGGAAAAGGAGAAATGAGAGTCAACTGTTTGATTAATTGTAAGAATGCCAACATATATACATATATCCGAATAACACCACTAGAATCCCTTGGGAGGCAAACTTTGGTCTACTCTCATACACCCCTCTCAACCTTTTTTCATTTGTCAACGCATAAAAACAAAAGACAATCCGAAGTATTCTGTGTTCGCGCAAAGTTCAGGAAAAGGCTATACCCTAATGGGCGTGACCAAGCATCACACATTCATTTGTCAACGTATTTAAAAATAAAAACAATTCGAAGTATTCTATATTCACGCAAAGTTCAGGAAAAGGCTATACCCTAATGCGGGTGACCAAGCATCACGCATTCATTTGTCAATGCATAAAAAAAAAGACAATCCGAAGTATTCTGTGTTCACACAAAGTCCAGGAAAACGCTATATCCTAATGGGCGTGACCAAGCATCGTGCATTCATTTGTCAACGTATAAAAAAAAACCATCCGAAGTATTCTGTGTTCACGTAAAGTCCAGGAAAAGTTTATACCCTAATGGGCATGAGCATGCATCGCGCATTCATTTGTCAACGCATATTAACTATAGACTTTTAATAGCGATATCTTTTACATCTGTTCCTAAACAATTTCCCTCAGTATACAACTATAGGGAATAAGGTGAAAAAAAAGTGGTCCATAACACAAACTATCTTGATAACAGAACAGTTGACCTTTAATATGGACAAAGTAGTTCAAGCCTTCAAGGGAAACTGAATGTACGTACAAATACTCTATTATTAATCAAAAAGTCTCCAACGAGTTCCAACCTTCAAAATGAAGAATATTTTTTTGATAAGGAGTGTTTTGTCTCTTTACTAAGTCTATCTCGCACGAATTTGAATTAATCGAACTATTAAAATCCGAATATCACATGGTTAAATAAAAAATGGCAAGGCATGGTCAACGAGTCACCGGTTAGTGACATGGGATGAATGCAGAGGCAGAGTTATGATTTAAAGCTTACGGGTCCGGGATTTTAGTCCTATAATTTTTAAGTTACTGAATTATAATTAAAAAAATTATTATACATATACAATAGATTTTTTTAAGACAGTGATAGTATTTGGACCCAAACTATTGAGTTGAGCTGAACTCATAACCGAAAAACTAGCTCGGCCCCTAGGATTAATGTCCTTTTGTTTTGTCTTTGAGTGGCCTATAAATAACAGTCACCATTCTTTGTTTCTTCTCACAAAATACACTGAAAATTTCACGTGTTCTCCCTTCTGCGACTTTCCACATCTCACATTGATCCCTTCATGACTGCAATTTTGCTATTTTTGTTCTGTTATCTGCAGAAAAAAGAAAAGAATTTATAAGGGGTCTCTCTGCAAAATCTTTTAAAGCCCTTATCCATTTCTTTTTTTTTTTTTTGGAAAACTGTGTCAGTTAGGCCGTTGCTCGTTATATATACAGAAATATTTTCAGCGATTATAGTTTTGCAAAATTATATATGGAGAAAGCAAAGCAAGTATTTGGTTCATCTTCTTCCTCTTCTTCCTTTACCAACGATCTGTTTGGTCCCAAAGAGCCGACAAAATCGTCGCTCTTTGGTTCCGTTTTTGGCCCTCATTCCACGGTATATATAACTATACTCATTATTTAACGTATTTCGGAAACAACCTCTCTACCCCAATCTGGGTAGAGGTAAGGTATGCGTGCACACTACCCTTCCCAGACCTTATTTGTGGGACTACACTGGTCGTTGTTGTTATTGTACTCATTATTTAACGTTGCAGTATTCTTAAGTTAACAACTCTTCTACTGCCAGTGGCATACGGCGGTCAATTTAACACCTTTCATTGAAAAATTATATTGTGTATTAGAAACTTATATTACGTATATAGGTCACAAATTATTTGTTTTGTGTTTATTAAATCTTGAATAACCTTCGTGTTATTAAGCTTTGGCTATGGACGGGAAAAACAGAGAGAAAGAAATGACATCTGTTTTATTATTATTTGTTCGCTAAATTCCTGGCTTCGTCACTGTCTACTATATCTATATTCCTTTATGTTATTTCTTATATGAATTCAAGTTATGTGCATGAAAAGTATAAGCTTGTACGTTTATTTGTATTACTATGTAACATTTCATCATATCAAGTTTGATGCAGTAAGCTGGAAAAATAGAGCGAGAATGTACTATATATAACCAGTTAAACTGCACTTAGTGTAAAAAATTTTGCGGGGACATAACTTTATAAATTCATTCCTTATAAGCACCTTATACTATTCTCTTCTTTCTGCCTAATTTCGTGAAGTTTTTTTTATTCTTCTCCACGGTTTAGATCAAGAAAATGATAATTTTTTTCATGTTATAATAATTTCTGAGTTGCAATTACTTTTTTGGGGGGAAGATTGGAATTTTTTGTGGGTGTATCTTCTCAAACAACCTCTAAATTCTTTTATTGTTTGGTTCATCTATTTTAGATTTTGTTTTATTTTCTAATTTTTTTCTCTTTTCCTTTTATATAACTGTAGGGACTAGTTGGAAAGGATTCCATTCACTCTGGACTTAGAGGTTTATCAAGAGTCCAAGATCCAGGAAACCAGTCATTTGGCAATGCAAAATATGGAACTTCAGGTTTTTTGAAAATATTTTCCTCACTGATTTTTTATAACTACTCAAAATGAATGAAAGAATTTTGCAACTTTGTGATTTAAAACATGTCATGAAAATTTTTTAGACCATAAAAGCATGTTGAAGGGCAGCATTAGAACAACGTTAAAGTTGCATCCATGTGACTTGTAGGTCACAGGTTCGAGCCATGAAAGCAGATGACAGGTTGTCTATATCACACCTCTTGGAGGTGCGACCCTTCCCTGGATCCTGTGTGAATACGGGATGCACTGGGCTGCCTTTTTTATAAAAACATGTCATTATGGATAAAATAAAAAGTTTAAAGTATAGAAATATGTTATTTTTTTGCTAAATGTTGTGTTGAACTCCAAGTTCTATTTTGACCATTTTAGAGGTTTTATAATTACAGAAAATGGGTCTCAAAGAAGCAGGGGAGACATCAAGAATTCCATGTATCAGAATGAAACAACAGAACCATGCCATTTGAGCTCATCTATATACTATGGTGGTCAAGATGTTTATTATCCAACTACTCAGACATCTGGCTACCAGAATACTGTAAGTATAGGTAGAGGCGGATCCAAGATTTAAATTTTATGGGTTTAGATTCACAATTCTACCATATCTTATCTAATTTAATGGGTTCAAAATTTATTATTTATACATATTTAATAATTTTTTGGGCAAAAATACAGGTATGAGCGAAAGCTATGGGTTGAGTTGAACACATAGCTTCTATATTAGATACGCCTGTGAGTATAGGTAGTTTCTTTCGAGGGATCTTTACATAAGTAGTCATCCATATTTATTGTTTACTTTTTATAGTCATATACATCGATTATACATTGATTATACACGATTATACATATATTAAACTTAAATTATACATATATTATACCTCCGTCAGCTATTTTAAATTTAATCGATTGAGTGGGCGGCTAATCGTGTTAATTCTTCTTCTTTCAAAGGAAAATAAGAAGCTTAAATTCACGAATTTACAAATATAAAAAGGCGTCATTCTTTTTATAACAGACCAAAAGGTAAAGAGCACGTATTTTTAACATGGTAGATAGAAAGTAGGAGTAGTTTTATTTCAATTTCTAAAATGTTTTTTTCTGCTGACTTGATCAGTTGAAGAAAAATGGAGAAGATGATGATCAAAATGCAAACAATTCAAACTGTGCTTCAAGAGGAAATTGGTGGCAAGGTATGAAATTAATATTGGAGTTATATATATAACAAAAGAATACTTTTAAAGGTTTAATTAGCACCTTTTTTTAGCAATGTCATAAATTCAACTATATGTGTTTCTTTTTTAACCTGCAGGATCACTGTACTATTGAGGTCTTGCATTTTTCCATGCAAATCTCATCACTTTAAAAAAAAAAAGTTAGGAGATCAAAGAAGGAAATCATCACCTACAAGGAGTGGTAGATCTTACAACATTTGATCATCAGCCCCTTTGTTTCTTTTTCTTGAAGGTGCGGTCCTTCCCGGACCTTACATGAATGTGAGATATTTCGTGTATCGAGTTGCCTTTTTTTATGGTAGTAGACAACTTGTAAATGGGTTCATGAGTTCAATAGGACCCACTATTTCAGTGTTACGTTGAACCATATATATGAATTCCGCATATAAGTATAAATATATATTTCAGAATCTCACTCTCTTATCTTAGAATCCACACCAGTAGCGAAGTCAGAAATTTTCAAAAGTATTCAAGTTAAACTTAAAAGAAGTAAAAACAATTCCCCGACAATGGAATGTCAATATATGTTATATACCTCTAAAGCTAATATCTTATCTTTACACACAGTATAATTTTCCGACGAATGATGGTCAATTGATCCCTTAGGACAATGTAGCTTCGCCCATGTCTACAACGTCTAGATTCTGGATTCATCACTTTGCTCCTTACATTAAGTCACCAATATTTCGACATTATTAAAAATTGCAGAATTTTATTCTCAAACCAGGGTTTAAACACAGTTTAATGATCTGTGTAGATACAGTAATAATAGACTAATAGACATGCATGTAGTTTAATAAAAAGATGATTGATGGCAATCAGTTATAAAAAAAAGAAGTAAGTTTAATATGGATTATCCGAAATATCGATGCGAATTCTGAATAGATCCATCCAATATGTTTTTTTCAAGTTGACATACATCATTTCAATTAAGTCAAGAAACCTCTTCAAAATTCAACATATGCTATATTCTGGGAATGATCAAAATAGCCAAGCAGCTTCATAAATATTGATGTTCCTAATTTCCTATATCGTGAACAGCTTAAGAAATAGGCTGGAGAAGAAGTAAAAAAAAAAAATATAATATCGCCGTTGCCGGGGATCGAACCCGGGTCACCCGCGTGACAGGCGGGAATACTCACCACTATACTAAAACGACCACTTGGTGAAGCTGCTCTGCTCAATTCTGTAGGTCGCACAGTCAGCACCACTTACATTGTGTTGAAATAGTAAAACAGAAGTCCATTGTCTTTTACCATAGAATTATGGATTATAGTTGCAGTCAAATTGTAGTTGCAGTTTCCAAGAATGGCTACTTCTCAATTATAACGTACTCGGTTATGTTGCTTTCTAGGTCTTGGTCGAGGACGACTTTCAAATTACGGTCTCATTCTTTCCTTCCTTTGATTCACGATCCTTGAAGCTAAATTAATCCCCCATGTATCAGGACCTGAACTTTAATGGTGTTCTTCTACAACTTTTTTTACATAGGCTCCGTAACTTAGAGAATTGAAAAGGGAAGCTTTTCCGAGCACAAACAAGATCAAAAGAATTGATCGCTTTACACAATAACAAAATAGGTTTTTTTTTTTAGTTTGATTCCAAAAGCGAAATCCATTGATCTTAATTAAAGGAGATAACGGGGATGGGTCTAGCTAATCCGCAGTTCTCTCCTTACTCAAGGGGGGTTAAGAAGAAAAATATTTTAAAAGAATTTAAGCTATGTACACTTAAGAAAAATTACATGTTCAGTGTAATTGTTTTGAAAGAATTTAAGCCTTGTAGACGTAAGAAAATGTACATGTTCAACAGTATAATTTGGTCGCTCTAATAGTTACATACATTTGTTTATCTGTTACCAAATCACAATGATAAGTATAACAGTGATATATAGTTAGCAATTAAATGACAGAATTGTGTAAATAGTGGATAAAGTTTAAACTCATGTTGAAAATACATCAAAAAAGAAAAAGAAAAAAGGAACATCATCTTCGTACAATGCACCAAATACAAATCCTTCCCGAAATATCATCTTGATTATTCCTTATTTTCTAGAGCATAACTCATAGTTATGTTGAATGTGCGCATACACTAAGTGGAAAGAAAACAAATAAAACAGCTTTTAATGATGACGAACTTTATCACTTAAAGGACTTTATATCGTTCACGAGACGTTCAAAATTAGAATAAGACGATCCACCTTCTACCAAGCATTTCTTAGCAAATTTTGACATTTGATTTGCTCTTTCCAAAAACTCATCTTTCCTAACCATCATCAAATCCTTCACCATTTTCTCAACTATTTCTCTATCACATGTATCTTTCATGTCCAACCCTAGTTTCCAAGCTGCTTCCACAAACCTACTATTCACTTGTTGATCCATAAAATAAGGCCAACAAATCATTGGCTTACCTTCGTATACAGTTTCGAGAATCGAATTCCATCCACAATGAGTCCAAAACCCGCCCACGGAAGGATGGGCCAAAACTTCCTCTTGGGGAGCCCACCCCACAATATACCCCCTTTCTTTCGTACCCTCTGCTAATTCCACGGGAATCTTGTTTTTCCAATCATCTCCGGCGACAGAATCCAACCGAATAACCCACAAAAATCTTTGTTTGCTATTAACCAAACCATACCAAAACTCCATCAATTGTTCTTTTGTCATAGTTGCTATACTTCCAAAACTCACATATATAACAGAGTTCGGTAGCTGATTGTTTAGCCAATTAATGCAACTTTTGTCTTCTTCAAATAAACTATTTGAAGATGGTGGCATTGAATTGTTTTCTTCACTTAGCTTATTCTTTAAATGTGCATGGAGTGGTCCAATGGGGTATATGTTTGGACATACATTTCGCATTTGAGAGAGAAGATTTCCATCTAGCTCTTCAAATGTGTTGAGTATGAGTCCATAGGCACGTGAATTTTCTTGACCCTCTGTTTTGTAGAGTTGGACATTTGAGTCTGTCAAATCGCCGGTGCGACAAAAGTCCGGTAGATCACGTCGCCGGAGAAAAGTTTCAGCTCCGGGCACACTCTTGATTGGTTCATCCAAATCATCATCTGCAAATGTTTGGAGTAGTGAGTAGAACATAGTTTAAGATTATGTGCTTAAAAATAGGCATAGATAGATGCAAATTTAGGGACAAAGTCACTGTATTCAGAGTGAGAGCTAATAACATATTCATTATAATATTCTTTACAAAGTGGCATAGCAAAAATTTTAATAAGAGAATTTAACCTCAAACGTATATAAATATTATATCAAAAAAATTAACCAAAAAAAATAACAGTATAATTTTTCGACAAAAGGGGTTCCGCCTTTTTTTATTAATAATATGTAGCTCGAGTAGAAAGCAAAGAGTTCAAGAATCCATCCTATATTGACTCATAGAAGAAATAATTGTGGTTTTATAGCATGTTTGGCCAAACTGCAAACATCAGCTAATTTTGAGAAATACTTTTTCTCAAAAATATATTTTTTTTCAAAACCTTTTGGAGATAATTAGTTTGTGTATGGCTAATTAATTTGAAAAGCACTCCTGAGCAGTAATTCGTGTTTGACCAAACTTTTAAAAACTGCTTCTAAGTGTATTTTTCTCAAAAGTGATTTTAAAGAGAAACTGTTTTTTTCTGTTTCTCCCTTCTAACAGCTTGGCCAAACACTTAAAAAAATACTTTTTAAAAAAAATATTTTTAGATTTGAAGAAGCTTGGCCAAACAGGCTATTAGACAGTTTGATTTCTCTGCACAGTAAAATGGAAGCTGCAGATATTAGATTTGACCCTACTAGTCAGAGACATGTAACTAACTAAGCTAGTATTTCCAACAAGAACAAAGGCCAAAGCCAGAATTTCAAGCTTATGAGTTCAAAATTCTAATCCTGCTATCTTGATTCTAAATTAATAAGTAATTTGTATATATACAATAAATTCTTTTAAAATAAATACAGAACGTAAACCAAAGCTATAAAATTCGGCCGAACTAGTAGCCGAAGGGCTAGCCTCCGCCCCTGAATAGAAAACACAAATATATAAATGAAACATCACTAAAATCTGAATCTAAAATCTAAAAGTGAATAAATTCAATATAAAAAACTTTACACGTAGAATTCAAGTTTAAATTATGAATACGCTTCTGACAGTGGTTATATGAAAGATTTACTAACCTTTGAAAGGATATTCACCAGATTCAATGAGTTGAGGAAGGCAAAAGAAGATCCAAAGACAACATGGACTAATAGTACGAATACTAAAAATAGGAATCCCAATTTCATTAGCAACATCACAAGTAAATCCCAAAACTCCATCAGCAATAATACAACTAACTTCTCTTCTTTTTCCATCAGAACTAAGCCAACCAGAAGTCAACATATCTTTAAACAATGGCTTTGTTTTAGATTTCAGTGAATCAAATAACTCCATATATTTACTACCTTTACGTGGATGATCTTGTGGTAAACCATCTGAAATAGTCTTGATTTGAAAACCAGGAAAACGTTCAAATCTTGAATTAATATTTGTATGAGAAATAAGACGATTATGGATATTTTCAGTTAATAGAAAAGTAATATCTAGGCCTGAAAAACAAAGAAGTTCAGCTAGTTTGAACGTGGAATTTACTGGACCTTGTAATGGTAAAGGGAAGATTAGAACATGAGGAGGAAGTGATTCTTGATCCATTTTTTGGTTGAAAAATGGTAAAATGGTTGTTTGGTTTGTGGAAATTTTGGATCTTAGATTGATTGTTTTCTTTTGACTGACTTGAGTTATGAGAGGAAATGATATATTTGTCAAGTTAGTAGAAATTAACATCATTTTATCATCTACTTTGTGAATATAATAATTAGATTCACTAGTGCATTGTCTAGTCTTCAATCACGTGAAAATAAATCTTGAAAATCAGGTTTAAATATTAAATATTTTTTATGACAAAGTTTTATAATACATATATTGATGAAAGATAACGAGTTTAATAAAATAGTGGAGATGGGATCGAACCAAACAATAAATTAAAGGTAGCTCAATGCATAAAGCATTCTGTATTTACCTGCAGTGACGAATTCAAAAAAATTTCGAAGGACGTTCAAACTTGAAAGAAGTGAAAAAAAAAATTCCGTGAAAGAGTGTTCAATATAATATATGTTATATACTTTTAAAACTTAATATTTAACCTATAAACACAGTATAATTTTCTCGTAAGGGTGGTCAGATAAAATGGTGTAGATTCGCCCCTGTTCACGTGAGGTTCGAGTAAGGGTCACACTAAAAAGTGTGATATAGACAGTTTACCTCAATGCATACATTAGTGACTGTTTTTACAGCTCAAACTCATAGTATATAAATTATACATAGACTTATACGACAACAACTTTATTGTTGGTCCAAGATTTTTTT